GATGCGTGTCTAGTGTTTCGCAATGGTATTGTATATAGAGTGGAGGAGAGGGAAAGCTAGTGCCTATAGTTTTTTGAACAAAAAGGGCAACCTTATAATCGCGAAGTGCCCAAACTGATAAGATTTGTTGTTCCTGAAATGTAGTTTTATATGAATTTCCATGGTTTCCACCTATTATGCTTAGGGCTCTCTTTTGTAGTCGTAGTAATGGCTCTAGGTATGTCGTGTACGTTACACCCCACGATTCAATACAGTAGCTAATATGTGAATGACACAAGGAAAAATACAATGTTCGAAGCACGCTGGGGGAAAGCATTCGCGTGCTTTGATTAAGGTATAACAACCGTAAGCCACCTTTCTACAAACACTGAATTTGTTCTTCTAAGTGAAGGTGTTGGTCAAAAAACACTCCTAAATATTTAAAAGAAACCCCTTGTTCGATAGCACTGTTGTTCAGGTAAAGTTGCATAGACGCCGTGTCAATATCCTTTCGCTTTGATCGAAAAACAACATACTTCGTTTTCCCCGAATGTAGTGTCAATTTATTCTGTATAAACCAGTTGCTTACGTGTGTCAATTCAGACAATATGTTGACTTGCAGTGTTGAGAGACTATCTCCTGTGAATACTATGGCGGTATCGTCCGCGTACATTAATGCTTTAGAGTACACTAGTGTTTTGGGGAAATCATTTTTGTTCAGAGAAAAAAGTACCGGGCCTAATACGGATCCCTGGGGCACTCCACACACTATTGTGCTGTATGCTGATTCGTTGTTGTTAATCACCACTTTTTGTTTGCGCGAGGACAAGTAGCTTGAGAAGAACTTTAGTGAACTGTCCCTGAAGCCATCACTTTCAAGTTTTTGAAATAGTATGTCATGGGTAACTGTATCGAATGCCTTTTTAATATCTAGGAAGACTGCAGTTGTGATTTCACCGTTGTGGAGCGCGGTGATTATATTGTGTGAGAGGGTTAGAATGGCTGAAGCAGTAGACCTAGCGGGAACGAATCCGTGCTGTTGTGGGAATATGATGTCGTTGTCAACCAGAAATTGTTTTAATTGAAGGACAATTGTCTTCTCGAAAAGTGTATTAAGACAGCTTAGAACCGAGATCGGTCTGTAGTTTTCAGGCTTGTTTGAGTCCCCTGATTTGTATACAGGAACTACTTTGGCGTTTTTTAAGGTAGATGGATAAATACGACAGGTAAATGCATGGTTGAAAATATGACATATCGGAATGCAAAGAAGGTTAATGTTATCTTTAATAAACTTAACTGGTATTCTATCATCACCAGTGGCTTTATTGACCGGCATCTTAGCCACGACAGATTTGATTTCATCTGTTGTGACAGCTGCAAGGTTGAAATCATTATCAATTAATTTGGGGAGAGAAGGAGCAGATATCGACGAGCAAAATTGTGAAGCAAGGTTAGCGCCAATACTAGTGAAATATGCATTGAAATCTTCTGCAACCTTTGAGGAGATGTTATCTGGAAGAATGCGTTTTGTCTGGCCTATGTCTGTGACATTTCTGACTACTTGCCACACCTTCTTTGCATTGCTCCCGTTTCGTGTAATACTGTTTGTATAATACTCCCTCTTCAATTTACGTTTCATAGTAACTGATTTATTCCTATAGAGCTTGAAGCTTTCGCGGTAATACGTGTTGCTTCTATTGTTTTTCCACTTATTATAATATGAATCCTTTAATTTTAATATTTCTAAGAGGTCGTTAGTCATCCATGAACAAATGGCGTGATTGTAGTTACGACGCGTACGTTCAATTGTCGACTGCCTAATCAAATCGCTTATCGACTCCAGAAAGTTTGCACATTCCTTTTCTATGTCATTATCATATATGCTCTCAAAGTCAACATCCTGAAGCAATCGGTTTAATTGAACATAATTCACATATGCCGAACGCTGCAATCGTGATGCACTGACCTTCGGTAGGTATTTACATGGAATAAACAGAAATGTTGGGTTATGATCGGTAACGCTTACGTCATAAACCCCAGCACTCACGTACCATTCGGCGTGACATAACATGTGATCAATAATGGATTCAGATTGGTCAGTGACACGAGTCGCAGTTGAAATGACATTTTTAAGGTTAAGTGACTCGAGTAAAAATAAATAATCAGATCTATCTTTCAGCAAATTAATATTGAAGTCTCCGCATGCAATAACTGGAACTTGAGAGGCTATCAGAGATGTCATCAGGATTTCCATAGTGCAGATAAATTCATTGACCGCTGAAGAAGGCGGGTGATAGACGACGTCCACTGTGATTCCACGCTTAATCTGAACAAATATCGTTTTGGCTGAGGGAGTCGATACAGAGTTTTTAGGAAGAATGTCAAAATCAATTTAATTTTTAATAAACAGCGCAACGCCTCCGCCACGGGATGAACTCGGGCGAGGCATAGATGCCACAGTGTAACCAGGTAAAGTAGCGGTCTCGCCTTCTTTCAACCATGTTTCCGTTACGGCAATTGTAACGTATGTGAATTTGTGTTGGGTCAAATATACTAGTAGGTTATCCAAGTTCTCTCTAATGCTACGAAGATTGCAATGCAAAATTGAGAAATTATCTTGCTCTTGCCATGCCTTTTCAACTTGGGGGATAGTCAGAGTCATTGTAAATAATTAGGTAGTGCGTGGTTGAGGTCACTCAACAATATTTTAGATAACTTGAGCAAGGGCATTAGCGCACGTGATATGGATCACGCGCGAGTTCTCTTCCTCATCAAAATTTTCCCCTGTGACACCCAAGTGTACTTCCACTTTTTTTCACGTTTAGTCTTCAGGGCGTATCCCAGAAGTACCTTGTTGGCAGGGCTTAAGTGCTCATTGATGTAAACTGGGCTGCTTTCGCCTTCAAAACCCAACACTGAAGTGTTATGCTCCATTTTCTTGCCGCCTTCAAGACATTCTCCCTTACAGTCCTTGTAGCAAATTTCACTTCTATATTCTGTGTCTGCTCACGTCTTGAAGGTACGCGGTGAATGACATCAATGTCCGATTCTTTTACGTCTACTTTTACACAGCTACATATTGTTTTCATCGTTGAAACTAGGTTTTCCGATGAGGTCATCGGGATTCCCTTGATTTCAAGGTTATTACTTCGTCTGTACTGTTATAACGTAGTCAGTTACTTTTTCACCTCGATCAACTTCTTTGAGAGGCGGTCATTATCTTTTTTTTATCTCGGTATTCTCAGCCCTCACAGTGGTAAGTTCCTTCTTCACTGTTAGTAGCTCGGTGTTGAATTTCTCGAACCTCTTAATTATAAAATCCATTCCCACCTTGACGGGTTCAATTTCCTGCTCAATTATTTTCTTCAGGTCCTTCTTTAGATCGTACTGGTTGTCACTAATTCTAGCACTTAAATCAGCAAGAGCCCTTGCCCGTTCCTTCACAGTCGAAGGCTGTTTTTCGGACATGTTCAAAATGATCACACTTCTTCAAAGAGCAGTCTAGGAGCCTAATTTTAAAAATTCAAAGTGGCCAAGGCCAGAGCACGTACCTGCACGAAGCAAAGGAAGTGATTATGTACTGCTCGATGCTGCTGCTGCCTAGACTGCTCTGGAATGATGAGCCGTCTGCTGTGGGCAGCGGTTTTAGAGCGTTATGGTGACGTCAGTAGTTAAAGCGGGGGGCGTAACTTTCGTTTCGATGGCCAGGTGAGGGGCGCACTTCACAGTTTCGGCACGTGTAGTCAAGTGGCAGCGAAGTCGGATGTCCCCGGCAATATCACGAGCGGGTACCGCCGTGGATTCGCCGTTGCTCGTCGGAGTGCTGCATGAAGGATAGGAAGTGATTATGTACTGCTCGATGCTGCTGCTGCCTAGACTGCTCTTTAAGCAGGAACTTGCAAGGAAAAAAAGATTTACAATATTTCTCGGGGTAGTTATTCTTTCTTCAAGGCCAAAGCGGGACTATTGTGGACCAAGATGTACCGAGCGAAATACGAAGACACAGACATGGTATGTAGTGCGGGTGGCGAGGAGGAGGAAACGGCTGAACATTTGCTAATGTTCTTTAAAGGGCTCCCCCCTATAGTATAAGAATATGGCGCTGAATTCTTCAAAGCATTGGGGTTAGGGACAGTGATGGCAAAATAGACTTTACACAGGTACAAATAAACAGAAGGACGCTAACTAACTGGTGGCCACAATCGACGCGCAAGTGAAATTCATTCCTTAAACACACAGTGATAGTACTTAACCTTCTGGCTAGGTGGCGTGAGCCACAGCTTATCTAAAGGGCACAGCCAGATACACCAATCCATGAAGTCGTCCTTGATGTGCTGGTTCGCCTTCGCTGCACTAATGGAGACTCTCTAGCGCAGCGCTTCCAGAATACAATTCACCAATTTTTTTCGCACATATCATCAAATAAACGTTGTGTTCACTCTCTCCATACGCAAGACTATCTTCTTCCGACGAGATTTGCAGTGAAACATGCAGATACGTGGCCAATTACTTTCTCTTGTTCGATATCTTCTTTTTCTCTTGGTGAAATAGAGAAAAACAGGAAGTTCACAATTTCTTACTGACCATGAAAACATCTTCTCTGTGTTGTGAAACAATTAGTTTTTTGAACAGTGATAGCAAGGGTCTCCGGACCACAAATAGATGATTAAAGCTGCTTTCTATACATTATCGTTTGGTTTCCAGCTCTTGATATTATCACGTGCAACTTGACGCCAGCCGGTGACAATAAGAGTGCTGCACACTAGCCGTAATTGTTTAGAGTGACGCTGGTTAGCACTTCAGGAAATTCACAAAACAGATCCATAGTCATGTAGATTTGCAATCCACTATAAGTTTACTTCAGTTGGTAAAGCATCGGACGCGCATTCTCAAGGTGGCCGGTTGGAGCCAATGAAGTTCCATAAGATGAATTGGCTCTATACAAAACTCTCATGATATTGTATGCTTCTTCTCCTAAAAGTTTAAAATTGGTATGCCTTAATTTTTATGTTCGCTTGTAGGTGGACAAAACTTGACAAATGTCCTCGCATTCTCTGATGACAATTGCTATGTGGTGTACGCTCTTGACGCAAACGGAACTGAGAGAGGTACGTAATTTTAGGGACTTCCATTTCTATCATAAATTGTAACACAGCGCTCTTTGGAAGGTATTTAGCATTTTTCTGAAGTAATCGATTCGAGTGCTTCACAAATTGAGTTACTAGATAACAATCTTTCATCTGCTTTCTGTTTGCCTATTTTAGAGCACTGTACACGAGGTTCTGATTTCCGACAAACATGGATGAATGAAATTCATATTTATATTTTCCTGCACACGCTGGTGATGGCATATAAAAGAAGTGCACTTGCAGAATAGTTCAAGTCACTCATTTTGTGTCATACGAAGCTTTGTATAATTTTTATTCGTAGAATTGCATCGTCGGTGACATGTAGGCAAATGTTTTTAGAGATAAAATTATTGGCCTTTTACTAGAAAACGTAACATGCGAGTAGCGCGAGTAGCTCATATAGAAATGCTGTTTTTTAGTGCTGTTACTCATTCACTCTCTGGACGTTTTCTGAAACATGACTGTAAGAAACACCAGCGGTGTATACGAAGACGCTTCTTTTGCTGAATTGTACAGTTAACCTAGGCCACTAAAAGCGTAGTCAAATTTTATTTACAGGGACATAAAGTACTCTAATTTATTCTGTGAATCTAAAGAAAGCATATTCAGTAGTGCTAAGTAGTTGACAAAATAAATGTGTTTGACCGGCTAATCTTTGTAAACACTGTCAAACTTTATACTCACATAAAAAGTTAGTGTTTATGAGTTTGTCTCTATAGTGCTAAAATCGGGAAGTTAGTATATACAACAAGCATATCTCTATATATTTTAAGGCCCTACATTTATTGTGCTTGCTTCACTCGCTGACACTTAGACCTCATGGACATATAATTACCAACAGGTGACACAAAAAACTTAATGATGAACAAAACCTCAGTACGATTAAGAAACATCAGCTCGGATCAGAGCCTTTTAAAATGCTGCTAACACTCAAAGCTAATACAACCGATGGAAATAATTCCATCATGCAACGAGAATACGTCGGACACAGTGTTCTATGTGCGTACCACGTTAGTGTAACGCTAGATTTGTGAGATGGCAAGCATTGTTTTGGTTATCAGAGCTTGTACGCTTTCAAATATATATTGTTCTGCTACACACGTTGCGCAATATATTCTTATCTGATAAATGACGAGAGATGCGTAAATTATATTTTTCTTGCCATGTTCGCTAAAATTGTGAACATTTGGAAATTTAGAACCAAGCATCAACATCGCCAGTACTATATTTTCAACTGTTTTTTAACAATGAATTGTTGCACCTTGTCTTGTAGGCATTGATTTTGGGCTTACGAAAACTTGTTTGTCGTATTCTGTGACACTAATTAACTTGCATTCTATTTCAGCTTACGAACAATGGGTAACCGATTTCAATAATGTTCCAACCTGTTGTCTGGAGAAGTTCAATGAGTACGCTGCTGGTCTGCCGGTACGGGACGTATACACAAGTGATTGCATCCCAGAATTCGATTATTAACGCTTTGAATATCAAAAAGTGCTATTGTCAACATTTACCCGAGTGCTTTGTGCCGCGAGTTTGACGATAGAAGTCGTATAGGCTTCCCTGATGGGTTTTTGTGGTCACTGCCGACGGTCAGCACGAGTAGTTGGAAATAAAAACCTTCTGCAGGCAGAATACAGCATCCGACGTCCAATTATTGTATGTTTTGTGCGCCGTAACATCAGCCGCTTCAGCCCTACTTGTTTCGAATACACGCTGCCTAATGCGAAACACGTGTTGTTTTTGAAGAATTGAAAAAAAAAAACCTCGAACCAAAGTATATTTTAGTTTAGGCTGGCCGCAACGACAACACGTGTCGATCCCCTAAATCACGAGCACCAACAAAGAAATAGCCCATTTAATGTACAAGGCGTCGATATGCTCACGGCGTCGAAGATGCTCAAGGTGTCGTGCACCACATATCGTGTGACGACAGCCACGCTTCATACGTTGGGGATACAAATAACTTTCACGAAGGGATGTGACACCACGAGAACAACCTCTGTCAACGGAACAGCGAACCGAGTGCAGTAGCAGAACACTACGAGCGGCATTACTACCTCCTCCGATTGTAGAGAATGATGAAACCCTCGCCGGCGAATCCATCCTAAATCCTACCACATTCAGCAGACATCGAGGAACATTAAACTACTTCACAGGAAAATCGCCTTCTCTATACATGAAAGGCTTGAGACGAGTCACAGCGAGCCTCCGACGCACGGCAATGAACAGTGTATAAGGGCGGCGCATCTCAGGCCTTCTCACGCTAGAAGAAGAAGCACGCCCGGTGTTTGAAACGTCATTATTTTTTGAGAAATAGATTTTTTTAGTTTTCTTGTTCCTTCAGTTTCTATCTCAACACAACAGACTGTGCCAAACGTTCACTTTTTTACTTGATGCATGGCCCAATTATCCATGTGTCTTTGTTAACTTGATTGAAGCGTTGCCGGTAACCTGTTTATTGCTGATTGGAAATGTACCAGGTTAATTAGCGACAAACGCTGCCGCACTGTGATTTTAGCGGAATGTTACTGCATACATGTTTGGTTAGCAGTACGGACTAGAACAAGGAGTTTATGTTTATTTATTGGTTACTTGTAATGACCTGATATGAGCACGGCGTATTTATTTGCCACACATACTGTAACGTTTCAGTACTAGTCTTTTCAGCACTTGTACTCGGCCAGAGGCGCAGTGCTACAGCACCTAATTGTCAGTAACGCAGCTTTCTGGGCAAGTTGTTTCATAGTAAAAGAAAAAAAAAACAGCTAAAACTCAAACGAAGACAGCGAAAAACATCCAGTCGTAAGTTCCATGCTTGTCCTACGTGGTTGTTCTTTTCGCTGTTTCCTTGCAGGTTTTCGCTCGTTTATTCTTCCTACTATAAACTTGATGTCAACACACCGTTCGATCGCATATTGCAAGTGACCATACCTACAGCTAAGGGTGGGTTATTGAATCCCAGGTGATTCACCTTAACCCAGAGAATTAGACAGTGACATGTATCTCTATCAGAATGCTGTTTCGCTATTTGCTATCACACTGGTTGTTACTATTGCCTCATTTGTGATATATATATGAACACTCCTACCTGCTGATATCCACTAGCAATCTTTGTGATTCCGAGTGGATATCATTGGGCATTGCCAGCAAGGACTTCATAAGGTTTTCAAAAGGCTTTGACGGCACATTTTACAGTCTGTTCTGGCGGTGTTCACCAGGTGGATGCTGTGTTCGCAGCGTTTTCGGCAACCGAACATAGTTCGAATCATTAGAACACCATTTTCACAGAACCGATGTGACCACACGACCATGTAAACATGACCATTGTAAGTGCTAAATGTTGCCTACATCATGAATCTCATTTGTCACCGTTCGAAACCAATATAATGAGCTTGTTTGCACAATTCTAATGTAGTTGAAATTCTAAAGAATAGATTTTAGATGTTTCCCCATCCAACAGAGAAACTGCGATTCTCCGGCAGATACCAACAGAGTTCAGCGTTTGGATGTGGCTTAGGCCAGTTTAACGGTACAGTAAAGAAGTGAAAATAAGTGCAGTGATAACTTTCCAATGTTGAGGCAAAGGCGCTTCCATGAACATGTGCTGTAAAGGTACCGCCTTAAGGTGTGCTATTTACGACACTACAATCATTTACAAGGGGCTTCGAGAAGTCATTAGAGATTTTGCATAAAAAATTACAGCGGAAGGTTGTGTGTTGTACCTGCAACTGCTGCCAAAGTAACACAGAGGCTTGTACTGAGGGGAAACAGTGAAAAACGGGACGAAGTAAGATTGATAAGAAAAATTGGGGGACCCTTAAGCTTCGCCTTTGAGAATTGAACGCGATAGTGAAAATGGCCCCTAGTGTGCCATCAACCGCAAAGTGCATACTTTTTATGTGTTTTTCACACACACACACACACACACACACACACACACACACACACACACACACACACACACACACACACACACACACACACACACACACACACACACACACACACACACACACACACACACACACACACACACACACACACACACACACACACACACACACCGTAGATTGGACAAGCGCGCATGCGCGATTGGTACTACAGGTTTTGAATCTGAAGCAAGAGTCGCATAGCCTCCAAGATTCACCCCGCGCGCTTTTCATGCAGGAGGGCATGTCCTTTATGACTTTTTATGTCCTCCTCATGGCCGCCGATTCAGGTGGCTATGAGACATAAGAAGCCTCACAAAGCCATGAAGAGGAAATAAAGAGTCTCACAATGCCTCCCAGATGGCAGCACATTATCTAGCGTTTGTTGCTTGCTTGATCAGTGCCTCTGGAAAGACATGATATGTTTTTCGCTAGATGGACCTAGTTGTCCAATTTTAGAGCTGTTTGAAAGTTCCTGTGTGTTTTTAGGGGCGATGGCTGCACGATGCCGGTCTTTTTCGACGTAGTTTGATGGCCTTCCAAATGCGCCTACCAATCGCCAAATGGGCTCGTTTTTGTGATGACAACTGTCGAACTAAATACGTTAAGGAGACTCCTACACTACATGACATTTATGTAGTGCTTTTTCACGAATCACACGCAAGTAACATTGTAGGTTCGTGGTAGGACACCTCAATGCCACGCGAACGGCCCAGGTTCGATGCTCAGGGGGCCGAAAATTTTTTCGTTTGTTTTTCTTCTTCCTAATTTTTCGCTCACGCCTCGTCATTGTGTTTTAGGCGCTAAAGTATTCGGCTGATGACCCGGAGGTTGCGGGATCGAATCCCGGCTGCGGTGGCTGCATTTCCGATGGAGGCGGAATAGCTGTAGGCCCTTGTGCTCAGATTTTGGTGCACGTTAAAGAACCCCAGGTGGTCAAAATTTCCGGAGCCCTCCAACGGCGTCCGTCATAACCATATTGTGGTTTTAGGACGTTAAACCACACATATAAATTTTTTCGCTCACAGATGATTTTTCGCTCCCAACCAAGGGTGCCGACGCGGACGGCGGAATTTCTGCGACTCGAGCTCTCAAACGCTACCACGTGAATACACAAGCGCTCTTGTGTCCTCATTCATTCTCAAGCAAAACGAAGAGGCGAGTGAGTTGATACTGATTGATTATGACGTCAATGTAGCGAAAAAAAGACGAGGATGACAAAATTAACACCACAAGAAGTTCATTTTTGTCCAGTTTTTGCACATTTTCCCCGCAGTATCATTGAACAACTGGCCCTTGAAAACACCCTTCTACAGTGGTTGGCTTCTTTACCGAAGGAATATTGGTACAGGTGTCTTTGATCGTCTCTTTGTTACTTGCTTGATTTGCCTGCTTCTATTTTGTTTATCATTTGTTCTCCCAGTACTGGTTGATAAGCTGTTTCTCGCAGCTTCACGTGCACATTTGCCATATCTGCGTCACCTGGACAGGAGAGTGCTTTATGCTTGGTCTACCAATGCGAACGCTTACCTCGGGCGAGAGTATGTTCGCAGCAAATAAAAAGTTTCGGTTAAAAGATGGGTGATATCAGACCAATATTATTCATTATTATCTAACTGAAGTTCTACAAATTTACCTATCGAATGAAATACTATGAGAGCCTCATTCTTTCTACAAGTCGGGTTTCAAAGTCGATTATTTTTCGTTTGAATGAATTCAAGAAGTATAAATATGCCCCGCCACGGTGGTCTAGTGGCTAAGGTACTCGGCTGCTGACCCGCAGGTCACGGGATCGAATTCGGCTGCGGCGGCTGCATTTCCGATGGAAGCGGAAATGTTGTAGGCTCGTGTACTCAGATTTGGGTGCACGTTAAGAAACCCCAGGTGGTCGAAATTTCCGGAGCCCTCCACTACGGCGTCTCTCATAATCATATAGTGCTTTTGGGACGTTAAACCCCACATATCAATCAAGAACTATAAATATACACTTGCTATTTGCAAATACATTTACCTATGAAAAACGCCAGCTCAAAAATATCATAAATAATGAAGGTTCAGCTGCATTTTCATGTTGCCACTGTAATACTATTAGTGTGCCCCCTCATTAGTTGTATTATAGATTATTTGGGCTTTTAAGTATGTCACTCTTATTATCCTAATATAAAGTACCTGTATTGCATTTACACAATTCCAGAACATCAAAATGGGGCTCACCAGTTTGCTGATATATATATATATATATATATATATATATATATATATATATATATATATATATATATATATATAGAAATTGGCTTGAGCGGACAAACGTGCGAAAACTTTTATTGCTCCTACGTTTCGGCCGGGGTCCGGCCTTCGTCAGGGAAGGCCGGACCCCGGCCGAAACGTAGGAGCAATAAAAGTTTTCGCACGTTTTCCGCTCAAGCCAATTTCTATTCATCACTGGATTCACAGAAGACACTCGCTGGATATATATATATATATTAAAGTAAATATATATATTAAAGTAAATATATATATTATATATATTTTACATTAAAG